ATGTGGTTATCTGCACCAATAGTTTGTTCTTCTTGCTGAGAAGCATTCCATTTATATGGCTATTCAATAACAAGCTGATCTAGTCACCTGTTCAAGGACATTTGGGTTGTTTCTAGTTTGGAGCTGTTATAAATAAAGCTGGTATGAACACTTACATACAAGTTTTCATGTGGACATATGCTTCATTTCCACATCTTAAGGCAGACATATATTTTTGACTTTTTAAGAAAATGACAGTTTCCAAAGTGGTTGTACCATATTACAATCCTATCACTGTGTATGAAATTTCCAGTTGCTTTGTATCATCACCAAATTTTGGCATGGTCAATCTTTTAAATTTTAGTTATTTTAGTGGACATGTCGTGGTATCCTATTATAGCAATGTATTGCCTTAGCTGTACTTTTTGAAATGAAAAGTAGTTCTTTATACACTTAAAAATTAAATAAAGGGACTTATGAAATACCATATTTGTATTCTTCATTATTTTTTGCTCTCATGTCTTTCCTCAGGGTTCATTTTCCTTCTTGTTGAAGTATATCCTTTAATAATTCTTTCTTTTTTTTTTTTTTTTGTTTTCCATATTCTTTCTTTTTTCTTTTAAAATGTGCTTTTTCAATTGTTTCAATGTAAAACAAATTTGTTTTACATTCAACAGTTCATGCACATTTGATTTTACACCCCAATTACCATCCCCAACCATAAAAATCTGTTCCCCTACCATCCCTGTGACTACCCTCCCTGTGCCCTTCTTACCTATGCACTCCTGTCTGTCCAGCTTTCTTTCTATGTGAATGCTGCCCCTCTAGTGTCTCATGGCTGATTGATCTAAGGGGTGCATCTCTCTAGAGCAGGTGGGTGCATCACCCTGGGGCAGGTGCTCTGCATATAAGTCTTTCTACTGTTGGGCTGAGAGCCAATCCATGGGAGTGAGTCCATTTCTAGGCCCAATGGGTAACCTGGGGCCATAGTCTCGGGGGTTCCACCAGTCTCTATCTGACCAGTAATTCTTGTCACTTTTGTGTTTTTAAATTTTGTTCCACATTCCTCCTCCCACTCTCTCCAGGATCTCAAGTTTTGATCCCTTTTTGAATGGTTGGCATTGGTAGCCAGGCACCATCTAGTTCTTCCGGTCTTGGGGTCATGAAGCCTGAATTCCTCATGGTCCATCTTATCCTTGGACTAATTTTCCCAGATGACTTTGATTTTCTTCATTGCTCTGGATGAAAGGAGACTAATAATTGCATCTTAGATGGCTGCTTAAAAACTTTTAAGACCCTAGTTGCTACTCACCAAAATAGGTTGTAAACAAGATTTTTATGTACTATGTTATGCCAATTGAGCATGATGTCCCTGAGACTATGGTCTCGAGTCTGCAGGCCCAGTGACTCTCTCTCTCAAGGTGTTTGGTTGTCCCTGAGAAGATACTCCAACTCTGTCTTCTGTTGCTTCTGTAATGTGTGGGACTAATTTTGTAGCACAAGTGCATATATAAGATTATCTTCAGCCAAATCTATCCTTGGTCTAGGGTATATTCCTGTTCACCAACCCCCAGCTGATCTTCTCAACTGTCTATGCATTTATCCGTAGCCTGGTGTTTGGTGCTAGTGGTAATGCAGTATTGTGCATACACTAGTATTTGCCTCTGTTGTCTGTATCCTATGTGCACATTACAGTGTCTTTCCTTTCCCAAATGTCATCATGCTGGTCACAGATTCTTTCCATACCATCCTTCCCCTCACCCAAATCAACACATGACCTCCAAATAGTCCGAAATTTTCCTTCCTCTTCCCTCCCATCCCCAGTAACCAATAAAGTGTATTTCCTTCCCTGAGTAAACTTTCTTTGGCTTTTTACAATAACAGGTTCATATAATATTTGTCCTTCTGTGATTGATTTACTTCACTCAGCATAATGTCCTCCAAATTCATCCATGTTGTGAGATGATTGGTGTATTCTTCATCATTCTTTAATGTTGCATAGTATTCCATTGTGTTT